TGTCTGATGCCTGAACTGGGAACACTCAAACACCAAGAAACTGGGAGAGCTAGTAGCTTCCGGGCAGCCAAACTTCTTACATGGCCCCTCTGGGCTCCAAAGTGGGGTTCCCGTATAAAATATAGGACATTCAGTTAAACTTTTAATTTATAGAAACAATTAATAACTTTTTAGTATATGCCCTTTGTAATATTTGGGATATACTTACACTAAAAAAATTACTTTTTGTTTTTCCAAAATTCAAATTTAAGTGGATCTCCTGTATATTTAGACTTGCTAAACTTGGCAACCCTATTCCAAAAGCACATGGTCTGAGATTGGGAGAGCCAGAGCAGCTCTTTGGCCTGTTTTGACTTTGTCTCAGAAGTTGCATAGTGCTCTTTTGCCTGCCCAGATGAGGGGATGTCAACAGCACATGTAAGAAAAACACACGGGATGGGGCACACACATATATATATATATATAATTGGAAAACCCCGTCCTTAGAGTAGCCATCTCTTGTCCAGATTAGGAAACTTTGGTTCAGGCAAATTCCATGACTTGGTTAGGTGATATCGACAATAAGGGGTAAACCCAGGATTCAAATTTTTGACTGCCTGGTTCAATATCCACTTTTGAGCTCATGATAGTCAAGGACAGGGGATGTTTTGCAGTAAAAACACACAATCTAGACTTCAGGGAAACAGACTTCCCAAAGGTCAGAAGAGAGATAGCCCAGATATCACAGTCAGAGATTTTTAGATGAATCTTGTCTCAAGAGGGTTGGGACACTCTGAGAAATGTCACTCTGAATCTGCGATTGCAAGCGCTCCTCTTTCAGAAGGAAAGGGAAGGGAGCTAGTAAAACCAGAGGCTGCACAGGACATCCTCTGATGCTCTCAGACTTTAAAGGGTTGGAACAAAAATGGGAAGGAAGAGCACTTAGCCAGGGACAAATAAGAATCAGTGGCGGAGAATTGTAGGAATAGCAGCAGGAAGTGTTACACCCCAGATGATTTCAGGGAGAATGTTTGGGAAAACAAGGCAGGGTAGCACTGTTGCTGCAGGTCAATGGCGTAACATTTCTGGGTCAGAAAAAGAAGGGACTCCTCCAAGACAATCACCTTGAAACTAAGACAGCCTCTGAGAAATGGGAGATGATCAATTCATATTGGTTTAACACATGAATGAACATGCAAATATATTTAGAAGGAATGAGAAGTTATGCCACAACTGACCCCAGAAAGAAAGCAGCAAATTCTTTTACATGGAGCTTCGGTGCAGAAGATCTACAGCCAGGTGGGATGCTAAGAGTAGGGACTGTAAAGGAGAGAAAAGTAAGATGAGCAAACATCAGTCTAATGCCTACGATGAATAATTAATAACAATTAAAATGAGTTACTTGCCAAAAATTAGGACCACTCTGTTCCATTGAAGGGTTTCCCTGGTGGCTCAGATGGTTAAGAATCTGCCTGCAATGCCAGAGATCTGGGTTTGATCCCTGGGTTGGGAAGATCCCCTGGAGGAGGGCATGGCAACCCACTCCAGTATTCTCGCCTGGAGAATCCCCATGGAGAGAGGAACCTGGGGGGCTACAGTCCATGGGGTTGAGAAGAGTTGGATATGACTGAGCAATTAAGCACAGCACCGCATAGCATTCCATTGAAGAACTGGCAAAAGAAGTTTTGATTCAGAAGTATTTTTGGCTTTAGAGGTTAAAATTCTAAACACAGATGTTTGTTTTAAAATATTTTCCTGTTTTAGTACACTGTAATTTTAAAAATCTTCTAATTCTGTATTTTCTTGCTAGGGAGAAACTTTTGAGTTCAATTTCTTGCTAGAGAGGTATCAAATCCTCAGGTTTACATGCGTGAGGGCTTAGTCGCTTCAGTCATGTCTGACGCTTTGCGACCCCATGGACTATGATCTTCCAGGCTCCTCTGTCCATGGGATTCTCCAGGCAAGAATACTGCAGTTGTTTGCTATGCCCTCCTTCAGGGGATCTTTCCAACCCCGGGATCAAACCTGGGTCTCTTATGTCTCCTGCATTGGCAGGCAGGTTCTTTACTGCTAAAACCACCTAAAAAGCCCCAAAACTCCTGTAGGTGAAACCATTATAGCTTAATTTGGTATTCAGAAATTTGTTGATAGACACCAAAAATAAAAGACATTAGACACATTTATTCAATCATTTTTTAAAAAATTCCTACCATGTGCAGTCTGGGTTCTAGGTACTGAAGACAGAGTGATGAATAGGGTGAGCCATGGTAAGTAAGTAATCTAATAAATTTCTAAGAAAAAGTTCAGAGTTATACATGCCATGAAAGAATGGGTGAGAGGATATGGAGTGAGTACAGAAACTTCTATCTTAGATACTTAGGTAAGATTTTTATAAGGTGGTAACATAAGAGCATAGATTAAAAGATAAGGAGCCAGCCATTGTGTATAAATTAATCATAAGTATAATAAAGTGTATTATCATTGTAATAAATCCTATAAAAACTTCTTTAGTTCATTCATTTCTTATTGAGGGATTTAGCCTCACAGAACCCTGGCAGCCGGTAACTAGCTGATGTGAGGTGGTTGTTCCTATATCCTGTGAACCATCCTAAAGTCAATGGGGCAGGCAGTTGGGAATGGCGTGATGTGATGTGAGGGAAGGATGGACCAGCAGGGAGTGCAAGGATGGGGTGGAATCTGACTGGTTTCTCAACGCCTTTAAGCCTCCATCCTCAGCGCCCTTGGTCACAGGGCTAGGTGCACCCCTGGCCAGGAGCAGGAGTTGCTGAAGGGAGAGATCCTGTAGGAACTGTTAGCCGCTGGCTAACAGCAGAGCCAGCAGAGAAGCATCGTCTGGAGCGAGCTGCACCTGCATCTGGTAGGCTGCACTACTTTCCTAGCGAAAAAGAAGAGCGCTGCAGCATCATCTCTGCCTTCCAAGCCTCACATATGACTGTGGGCCGTGCTAACCTGGAACTAGGCATGCAACTATGCTCTTCTGAGATAGACATTCGGCTTAACTGAGCTGACACAATACCAACCCACCTCCTGCTCATGCTGGGAGCACAAGATGACCAGGCTGGCTTGTCTTCCTCATCTTTGTTTAGGTCCTGTCCCATCAGTGACGACCTACCTAACACTGCAGCCAGTTCCTGTTGTGCCAAACACAACCATTCTAAATCCTCTCTAAGGTCTCTTTACTTTCCATAGCATTCATCACCTTCTTTATTTTTTGCCTCACTCTACAGCATGCAGGATCTTAGTTCCCTGACCAGGGATTGAACCCATGCCCTTGAAGTGGAAGTGCAGAGTCCCAACTACTGGACTACTAGGGAATTCCCACTCATCACCTTCTTATATGTGTGTGTGTTTAGTTGCTCAGTTGTGTCTGACTCTGCCACACGCCTGCCAGGATCCTCTGCCCAGAATCCTCTGGGATTCTTCAGGCAAGACTACTGGAGTGGGTAGTCATTTCCTTCTCCAGGGGATCTTCCTGACCCAGGGTCAAACCTGGGTCTCCTGCATTGCAGGCAGATTCTTTACCAACTGGGCTATCAGGGAAACCCCTACTCAATTATTATTATTACCATGCTTATTGCTTGCTGTTTATTTCGCATCAGTAGAACAGGAGATCCACAAGAGCATTTTTCCAACCACGATGTGTCCCAAACACCTGAGCAAACCCTTAGGACCTGCTGTTGAAGGAAAGAGAATAATTGAGAGAGTGTCAGAGATGAGTCTGCACAAGTCAGCGGTGGCTAGGTCAGGTAGAATGGATTGTGTTTTAAATGTGGTGAGAAGACTTTGGGAGTTCTCAGTGGAGGAATCAGGTGTTCTATTGGACATTTTTTAAAGATCACACTGGCAAAGTATGTGTGTGTGAAGGGGTGGGCATGAGGGCTATGGGAGGTGGGAAGCCTGGAGGTGGGAAGCCCAGGTAGAAAGTGATCACTGTTGTCTAGCTGGGGATAGTTAGGACTATGATGTTTGCAAAGAAGGGGGGATAATTTGTCAGACTCAAGATGTATTTTGAGGGTCAAGCTGTCAGCACTTTTTAGTGGGATGGATGTGGAAGATGAGGGTGGCTAAGGGTTTTAACCTGAAATATGGAGTGAAATGGTGGGGGCGCATTGGCAGAGTGGAGACTGGGAGAGGAGCAGGTTTGAAGAGAGAGACCAAGATATTCATTTATTCATTTAGCAAGTGTTTACTGAGCCCCTACCATGTGCTGAGCACTGTGTTGAGTCTTAGGAATACAACACTGAACAAACTGGACTAAAATCCTTGCCCCCAGGGAGCTTACATCCTAGTGGGAGAGAAAAAACAGCAAACAGCCAAGTCAGTAAGATATAGTGTGTTGAGAAGTGGTGGGAAGTAGGGATTGGTGAGGGGATAGGGAGTGTGAAGGATGTAATTTAAAATAAGGAGGTTTGTTTAACATGGGGCCTTTGGTAAAGACTTGAGGAAGTGAGGGAGAGAGTCATGTGGACATCCGGTGAAAGAACTTTCCAGGCAGATGGAATAGCAAGCTCTCCTAAGGTTGAGCCTGTCTGCCATGTTTCAGAAACAGCAAAGAGACCAGCAAGGCAGTGGGGAGAGCAGGGAGAGAGAACAGGAAAGTGATTGGCTGGGCACATAGATCAGACCATTTTGGGGATGTCTACTTGGCATGAGATGAGAAGCCGCCAGAGCAGAGAAGTGACATGAGTCAATCTAACCTCTAACCTAAGGTTTGAGACGCCCATTGGACTTCCCAGTGGAGATGTCAAGGAGAGAGTTGGATGTGTCTGGAGCTCAGGGAAGAGATCGTAGCTGGATTTGGGTGTGATCAGAGTACAACAGTATTGAATGCCAGGGATGCCAGCCAGAGAAACATTAATTACAGAGGAGAGCAAATAACAGCAGCAAATGTCCAAGAAGAGTGTCATGTGAGGAGACTCAGGCCACCTGTAGTTACTCTGGTTCTGCTTGTTTCAAGCTGGGGAACCACTAATAGGAACCACAAGGCTTCCCAGGGGGTGCTAGTTGTAAAGAACCCACCTGCCAATGCAGGAGACTGTTAGAGATGACAGTTTGATCCCTGGGTCGGGAAGATCCCCTGGAGGAGGGCATGGCAACCCACTCCAGTATTCTTGCCTGGAGAATCCCACGGATAGAGGAGCCTGGCGGGCTACAGTCCATGGGGTCACAGGACGTGACTGGAAGTGACTTAACACCATCACCGGTAGCAACCATGGCTGATCTAATTCATATGCAGTGCTCTGTGGGTTCATAATAAAAGAAGTTTATAAATTCAACATTCAGATTATACGTGTGTGCCTATATGCTGTGACTCTAAGTGGTTTCAGGTGGGCAGATGTAGGTAAGAAGAACCCAGAAGTGACCAGGATTCTCAGCTACAGGTAATTTCCAACTTTTGCTCTGGGAACCATAGGGGCTGCTTTTGACAGAGGTTGGTGTTTTGTATAATAAGTCCTGTCAAGGTCACAGTCAGTTTGGAGCTTTTTCTAAAAACTTGCTCTTGCATGTGCACAAACGGTCAGGTTTGCAGCCGTGTTCTGGTAAAGCAGCTCTTCTGCATGGGATGGGATTGGATGGGATGGGATGGGATGGGAGGAACCTGATTTGTTGTGTTTGCTGATTTGCATGATGTAAATACTCTTACCACAGCCAGTCTCAAGGTACCAGTCTTCTAACAACTAACCCTCAAAATTCCTGCAATTTTGCTGAGTATATAACAGCTGGCTCTGGTGTACCAACATTTTATTTTCCATAACCCATGGATAGGCTATACTTCTGCAGCCCCAATTGCTGTGGCTTCTCAGATTTTCTCCACTCCCTGTATCCATGCCTGTGGGTCACACTGAAGACAGTCAAGTGGCCAGTACAATGGCCTTTACCTCTGGAATTAGGAATTACTTTTAGGAGGCTTCCCTGGTAGCTCAGATGGTAAAGAATCTGCCTGCAGTACAAGAGGCCCAGGTTTGATCCCTGGGTTGGGAAGATCCCCTGGAGAAGGGAATGGCAACCCACTCCAGTATTCTTGCCTGGAGAATTCCATGGACAGAGGAGCCTGGCAGGCTATAGTCCATGGGGTTGCAAAGAGTCGAAAACAACTGAGTGACTTTCACTTTTCTGTGACAGTCGCTTTTAGCCATGACCCCAGGAAGACATCAGCAAGTGTTTTCTGAACTGAACCGCTGTCCTTGTCATTTCCTACTGCAAGATACTTGTCCTCAGTTCCTTACATAAATGGAACTTTCTACATTATTAAGTTATTTTGAAATCTTCTGCAGGGAGGACCCTGAACTTGATGCTGGGGTTACAATAGGCACATATCTGCCCTTATTATTTTTTTTAAAATCAGAATATAATTGCCTTATAATGTGTTAGTTTCTACTGTATAATGAAATTAATCAGCTATATGTATACATATATCCCCTGGCTCTTGAACCCCCTCCCACCCCACCCCCCACCCCACCCTCTAGGTCATCACAGAGCACCAAGCTGAGCTCCTTGTGCTACCAGCAGCATCCCACTAGATATCTGCTTTACACATGGCAGTGCAATATGTCAATCCCAATCTCCCAGTTCATCTCATCCTCCCTCCTGCCATGTCCACACAGTATGCACCATATTCCTGTCCAGAGTCTTATTGGAGAATTGAGAAAAATGGAAAGAATACCTAGGAAGGTTATTAGTATTATTATATGTGCTGTGCATGTGCTAAGTCGCTTCAGTTGTGTCTAACTCTTTGAGAGAGCATGGACTGTAGCCCGCCAGGGTCCTCTGCCCATGGGATTTTCCAGAAAAGAGTACTGGAGTGGGTTGCCATGCCCTTCTCCAGAGACTCCTCCCCACCCAGGGATCAAACTCACACCTCTTATATCTCCTGCATTGGCACCCAGATTCTTTACTGCTGTGCCAACTGGGAAACCCATAACCCCCATGAAAGCTTGCCTGAATTTGCCTACAATGAACATCCACTATCTGTAGCCCTCATGTTGCATGGAACATTTGCTAACTCTGTAATAATATATAATATTATTTAATATTAATAACATTATTATATTATTATTATTATTATTATTGTTTCCCCAGAGCACTTTAATGATCAGCCAAAGACTGGATCTCAGGATTGTCCATTGGAACAAAGACAACCATTGTGTATGTGCCAACCATTATATATGTGCTGTGCTTAGTCGCTTCAGTCGTGTCCGACGCTTTTTGACCCCATGAACTGCAGCCCTCCAGGCTTCTCTGTCCATGGGGATTCTCCAGGCAAGAATACTAGAGTGGGTTGCCATGTTCTCCTCCAGGGGTTCTTCCCAACCCGGGGGTTGAACCCAGGTCTCCCACATTTCTGGTGGATTCTTTACCATCTGAACTACCAGGGAAACCCCAAATTCAATAATTTAATTCTATGCACTGCTCTCCTTGCCCCCACCCAAAATTCCATCCCATTTCTAAAAGTCATGTGTGGACAGCTGAACATCCTTTGGGACTCAGCACTACTTAAAAGCAGGAAGAGGGCTCTTTACTAAGCCAGTTCACCACATTTAGAGCCCAGCGCCCTTTCTCTCATATGCCTGTTATTTGGAGAAATGATTCAAGCTCAGGGAGCCGGTCAGCTGGTTCCCTACCTCTCTGCAACCTCCTGTTGCATGCTCATCTGCAGACCTGGTGTGAAGCGTCTCAGGGGGGTCACGTGGCTGGGAGAAGAAGGAAGACACAGCTACCCCAAAGAGACACCCCATCCACGTCTATAGGACAAGGAGGCATTTTGTGACCAGTGGAAGACACAAGTGTCTCCCATCACCTTCTTTGTATACGTGATGGTGGAAACAGGAGAAAACACACAGACCAGAAGATATCCAGACAGTGGGCTGTTCTCCCTGACGACATTTGTGCCGCATTCCTTCTCGCCCCTGGAGTGCATTGCGACACTCAGGCTGGTGGTTCTGAGAGCCAAGCAGCTGATGGGGGAGCCCCAGGAGGCAGCAGAGACAAATTAATCTTCAGATCCACCAGTTCCCCTGAAACACACCACTTGCTAAACTGAATTTCAAGCCAAGAGCGGCAATTTTCCACAGCCCAAGTCTGGAAAAGTCTGTGAAACCACACTGGGTCTGAAAACCAAAGTTGGTTTTTTGCTGTTTTTCATGGAGCACCAGAGGGACAACTCCAGAATTCCAGATGTGCGGCAGCTGGATGGAAGTGTGTGTCCAGGCATCTGCACAGCAGCTTCAGAAAGGTGACCACAGACAGGTGCTAAAAACCACTGCTGACAACTTTCTTTCTCTTTTCTTATCTGAACCTCTGGACTTACTTGTCTGAAAAGAAAGAGGAAAAAAAATAAAAAGCTGGCACTCATTGTTTTGTTTTCTCAATTTTCTTGTCAACTGACTCATGATAAAAGAATGTCCTTTTCAATCAATTTCAATTCCGCAGAACAGAAAAATAGAGAATTTATAGGCAACTATTGGAAACAAAGGAACCATCTGTTTTTTTAAGTATAATTTTTCTCTGAAATAGTTCTCTCCAAATACTTGGGTCATTTATTTTCCCTCACCACACCACTCTGCAGTGAACCAGAGAACCCAGAGTCCAACCCAGGTAAGTTTCTTTGAAAAGAACCCCTCCTCCCCAGAGTGGGTGGGTTCCGGAACAGAAGACTAGTGGAGTAACCGGGACCTCTGTCTCTTACGTGGGGAGGGCTTCGTTATCATGGGAAGCAGCCTGGGCGGCTGGTGGAGGTCATCCAACCCTGGTTATTCCGGTTCAGTTGTCATTTTCTAGTGACGGTTTTCACTTTTCTGCCAGGAATCTCCAGGGGTGTTTGACAACATTGTGACTAAAACTCAGTCATGTGCTGGTAGCTGCCACAGGCTAAAAATTTCAGTTATCTGAAAGCCAGAGGTGGCTCTGTCAATGGAGATGAGTCTTACGTAAGCCAGGGGATGGCAACAAGTTGTCTCTGAAATCTTCCAGCCTCTGGGGTCCATCCTTCCAACTTTTCAGTATATGATGCTCTCAGTCCCACCACACATTCAGGAACCATTTTGCATCCATGCCAAGGTTGCTGTAGGTCCCTGGTGGAGCCTTGCAGTCTGCTCACCAGCTCCTGCCTCGGAGACCTCCCCGGTGCAGACCTGCCCAACTCAGCAGCTGCCCTCCTGGACCGTCTCTCGTCTCGGCCTCTCTCCCTCATCCACCCAGAAAGCTGACTGCAGCTCCCTTCCTGTGAGACACGCTATCACAAGATTGTGGCACTTGGCCGACTTTCCTGCAGGCTGAAGAGCGGCAGGGTGGAGTTCTGATAGAATATTTCACAGTCTTGACCTATGCCCAACTTTCCTTTTCAGGCTCTTGGTCTCCTGCTCTGCTGCTGGGTCCTCACTTCTTCCCCAGAACTGGTATTACCGCTCCCAGCTTCTCTCCCATGACTCTTGTTCCCAGCCCGCCTTCTTCCTCCTTCGGCTGCCCTGAAATCTTCTGTCGCACCCACTTCATTTTGCCTCCGTGCTTTCTAAGCTCCCCCTTTCCAGGAAGACTATGCCTGGGGTGGGGGCGGGGTGCCCACCTCCCATGACCAAAAGGCCTATCAAAACCATGAGGGTTTTTCTCTTTTTAATCATTTGTAGTCCAGTATGAAATCTGTATGTTTCAAAGCCTCAAATATGGGAATAAATAACTGATATGCCTAGAGCCTTTTATGAATATATTAGATGAACTTTGCTTTTTTAAACAGCATCCGATGAAGAGAAAAGTCAGTTATCTGGACAGTACAGTGGACTGTGGGGGCTCTCCTATAAAGGTCTGACCAGGAATTTAGGTATTAGCCAAATTAGAAGCAGGTTGAGATGGCCTCAGTGAGAATCAAGCCCTTGCCTGGCTCCCGTGGAATTAGCTGCATGGGAAACCACTGGTCTTTATTCTACATTTAAAACTTCTATATACCTTACTTTCATTTCTTCTAAAACTGTCTGCTAGGCTTTCATTTCTATTTTTAAAAGGCATGAAAATAAAATCACTGGTTAGTGATAAAGCCACCCAAATCTTCAGTTCTAAAAGGAAAAAATAAGGCAGATCAGAGAAATATACATCAAAGCGTACACAGCTTTTGTCTCTAAACAGAACAGTGGAATTATGAGTTATTTTATTGTCTTATTGGATTTTTTGCAAATTTCCTATGATAAACATGAATTATTTTATAATAGAAAGATGAAAGCTACAAAATTATTATAAGAAAGATTTGCTCCTTTATAAAAAAACAACTGTACGTGTATCCAATAAACCATTTTTACACAGTTCATCATGGCTAACCACCACACTAACTGGGTTTTTCTCTTTTTAATCATTTATAGTCCCAATATGAAATTTATCTGTTTCAGTCTCAAATATGGGAATAAATAACTGATATGCTTAGAGCCTTCTATGAATATATTAGATGACCTTTGCTTTTGTAAACAGCATCCAATGAAGGGAAAAGTCAGTTATCTGACACTGAGAGCTGTGGTCCCTCAACCACCCAGGCAGAACCTTCTCTTTTTAACACTTCATTTTTAGCTGGTTGAAAGTCATAATTTTTGCCATTACTGTTAACACTACTACACCATCACCATCACCATTATTGCCATCATCATCATCATCATTATCCTTTCTTTAACTGAGCACCTACTGTGTGCCAGGCTAGATACCTGATATGTTACATACATAATCTCATATGAATATGTATTCTCATTGAGACTTTATAAAGCAAGAATCCTGCCCCCTCCTCATAGCTGAGGAAACAGGCTCAGAGTAGTTAACTTGCTTACCTGATCATTCATGACCCACCCAGCATGAACTATAGTGATTTTTTTTAATTACATAAATATTTTACTTGAATAATAAAATAGATATTACAAAGATTTCTCTTTTTATTTTTTAAATAATGAAATATGATAACACATTTACAGGTGACTTGGAAAGTACAAAACAAATTTACTTGTAGTTCTACTATATATTGTAATTATTTTTTAAAATTCATTCCTAGTTGAAGAATAATTGTTTTATGATATTGTGTTGGTTTCTGCCACACATCATCATGAACAATTACCTTTTTAAGTAGATACTTTAAGATTTTTAGTTGGAGTTTTAATAACAAACTCTCAAAAATTAATAGAATGGATAGACAGAAAAGTCAAAGGATGTAGTAGACCTGAAAAGCACTATGAACCAATTCAGCATAATTAAAATTTATACATTTTTCACACAACAGCAGGATACAAATCCTATTCAAATTCCCATAGATTAGAGGAAAGGAAGACAATGTTTAATTCTGCCAACCTCACTCAACAATATAACATAGCAACTAGCTATATTACAGCAATTCATTTGTTCATCCATCCACTAGGATAGTCAACAGATGCATGGTATCCCATCTGTGGAAGGCACAGCCCTAGGAATTAGGAAATCTGCACAAGCATAAAAGGCAAGTTCCCTGGACAAATTTAGGAGGGGAAATAAGCCAAGCATAGGTATAACCCGAGTGCAAAGGTGGCAGACGTGCTAGCAAGGACAAATGCAAAATGGTACAAGAATCCAAAGAAGAAATTACCAGGTGGGAGTGAGTCTGTTTAAGGGAGATGGGCTTCCCTTGTGGCTCAGCTGGTAAAGAATCCAACTGCAATGTGGGAGACCTGGGTTTGATTCCTGGGTTGGGAAAAGAAGGCTAAGGCTACCCACTCCAGTATGCTGGCCTGGAGAATTCCATGGACTGTATAGTCCATGGGGTCACAAAGAGTCAGACACTACTGAGTGACTTTCACTTTCACTTTCATGGAAGATACTGTGTTTACTCATTGAACTGAATAGCAACTCGGTGTATTTCAGATGGAGGGAATGACAGGGGCTAGAGAATTCACATAGCATGCAAAGGGAATTGCTAGTAATCCAATGTAGCTGGAAGAAGGGGTAGCCATGTGTGGGTGAGCAGGGAATGGCAGACTGTGGAGGGGACCCTAAATGATTCACGTGAGGCTTTAAAGCACCTTATTTCAGAGGTGCTTGGGCAAGGCTGTGCAGGTGGACATGACCACAGCTGTGCTTTAGGGAGAGTAACCTACCAAGGGTAGGGTGGTGGGGACTGGATAAAATGTAAAGTGGGGTGGATCAAGAGAGTCCACCTCCTCAACATTGTAAATCAACTGTACTCCAATAAAAATCTTAAAAAGTTAATTAAACACACACACATGCAAAATAAAACATGAAACAACAACAAAAAAGAGGGTTAGCCCCGGAGACTAGGTGAATGGAGAGACAGAGGAGAGAGACCAGACCTACATTCCAAGCCTGGGTGACCAAAGCCCTCACCATGGCCTGGGCAGCCTGTCACTGTAGACTCTCCTCTCTTGATTTCATTTCCTTCTTACCTCCTGCCTTGTTCACTCTGATCTAGCCTTTGTGGTTTCTCTAAACATCAAATACTGGACACACTCAGTCATGAGGACTTCTCTCTTGGTTTGGAAACTCCTCCCTGGATATGTGCATGGTTCACTCTCTCTCCTCCTCTGAGGCTTTGTCCCAATGTCACCTCCTTTCTGGGCCCCCCATTCCCCTTATTTTACTATGTTCTTCTCCGTACCAAATATTACTTTCTGACACAGTATGTATTTTACTTATTGATTATGTTCGATTGTTTATCTTCATCTGGCTTGTCCACTGCTGTATCCCCGCAGCTGGCACAGAGTAAATTCTCATTAAATATTTGTTC